TTTACAAATTTGACAAAATTTACCAAACACTGAAATTTAGATTCAAAAGCAATTAGAGACTGCAATTCTGAAATTAATGCCAGAAAAAAGAAAAAGAAAAACCAATTTCTCTGTTTCTAGAACAGAGAAGCCCTTACAGGTAAAAAGTCATATTTGGTAAAAAAGACATACCAAATTCCAAATTTGGAGGTTGATGGGCATGGCCTCAACGTTGACCAGGTAAGAGTGAACAGCCACTCCAAGTTTTTCTTCATGCGACTCCTCGAAAGTATTTTCCGTTAATCGCCTTATCAAACTCGATTTTCCTACGTCTACTTACCACATTAATCAAAACCCAGAAACAGAAATTAACTTTATTGGTTATAAAGAAAAAGGAAAACAGATTTAACATAAACAAAACATCTATTACAAAAGAAAATGTATGGATGGTTCGGCCGGCGACAGCTACCTAAGTCTCCGATGACCATCAACTTGAACATATAATCGTATTCCATGTCTTCTCCAACGAACCGCTTCGTGTGATGGAGTAGACACAAAAAAGTAGGCCTGGTAGAGAAGATGAAGTGGCTAAAGTTATATATAGAATAAATATATACATGAAATTACTTCACCGCTAAGTTATTTTATGAATGAGAATGGGCATGGTGTTGGCCTCTCATGCACCCATATAATCAATTAACAAAATAATATAGTTACTGGCATTGATGTATCGTTATATGTATTAGGCCTTTTTATATTGGAGTTCATATGTAATATTATTGGGTTTATTTATTAGGTTTGTCTAACTTGTATTTTAAGAATACATATTAAGGTGTAATAAATATGTATTTTTATAATGAATTTACATAAAAAATAATAAAAGTTAACTTTTATTTTAGTATTATTATCACATATATAATTTAATTAATCAATTAATTAAATTTAAATTAATTTTTATCATTTTTTATGTACATTAATTATAAAAAGGTATATTTACTACATTTTTGTTGTATAGATATAAGATAAAAAAAAAATCTCTTATTTATTTAGTGATATGATATATTTATTTAATGATATATCATATTTATTTAATAATATATAATAATTATAAATTTATAATTTTATATAACATTATAAGTTTGTGAAAAAAAAAAAGAAAAAAGATTGTGAAATAATTTCATCCTTAAATCATTACTCCCACTCCATTTAGATTAGTGATAGTACAAATCCTGTGGGCTGCAAGATTTGTTGAATCTTATTATCGTCTCTACCTTCGCCTCATATTTAACACGCATTTATCTTATACTTCTTACACTTCTTATACTTCTTGTTTTCCGTATGCTTTTCTTTCCTTCTCATCGGATTCTGAAAAAAAAAGAAAAAGGAGAGTGTTTATTTTGATCTGTGATGACTTTTCATTCTCCAAATCTTTCACAAGCAAAAGGCACTGCCAATCTTATGAGCATAACAAAAATGAACATAAATTTACATACATCCGATATGAATTCTTTTTTATGCACTTCCTAGAAGAAAAGAGCTTAAACCCAGCAGAGGGTTTAACTTAATTAAATAACACAGTTTTAGGATGAAGGAATAAATGATATTCAGAGGCATATCAAAATGAGTTAGGTTCTCCATTAACAAACTCGAATAATTCACTAGCCTGGGTGTATACAATATATATGCTGTTGTGTGCAAAGCAAATTCACATACTGAACATCTAATCTCATATCACCAACATCCAGCATAGTCTGGCATCCCTTTACCAATGAAGTTCAAGGTAGTCTGGTTCTCTATCTTCCTGATCTTTGTCTGTGCAAGGATTAATGTTGCTCAAGCCAGCACTCGCCTTTCAGTCTCTGTGAAGTTGAACCAAGACCTTCAGCCACGCCAATATGCCACCATACAGGTAACGTAACTAAAACTGCAATCCATCTTGTTAGGATAGGATTTCAAGTTGGTTTCTTCAATCAGTTCCAACTCCTGCTCTTCCAACTAAGATTGATTGGTGCATCAGAGATGAAAAGGGCAAAATTTTCAGCTATGAAGACATGGAATGCTTACATATTTCTTTCTATAATCCTACAGGATGCAACAATGACTGCGATACAGCTTGTTGCAACTGTGGTATAGAGAGACAGCCACCAGTGTGTGTGCAATGCTGTCAAGAGAAGACTTAAACACAGGCACTTTCAGTCAGGCACAGAAACAACTTGAAGGGATAAAAAGATGCAATATCATGGAAACTACATCAAAATCTATTATCAAAACTCAAAAGGAAAGAAAATGTATATTGACATAAAAAGAATAATATCAAATCTCAAGTCAAAATCTTCATTCTTTTCTTCAAACAAGTTTGATGCATTCTGTGAATTCACATAGGTGTACAAGAACCCAGTGCCAAAGAAGGCACTT